GAGAGAGAGAGAGAGAGAGAGAGAGAGAGAGAGAGAGAGAGAGAGAGAGAGAGAGAGAGAGAGAGAGTACAAAAGGTGGGGAACACAACGTACTGGTCTTCAACATCTGGGAGAGACGAAATGAAATTCAGGCCATACGCTGGCCCACGTACGCCTTGAAACACATCAGCACTGCAACAGAAGACACAAGGAAAGCACAATGTCCAATCACTCCCATGCTCATGTGGAACGACTCGCACGTGTCACACAAAGCTTATAATGCTTCCTAAGGCAAGGGAAAACCTTGGCCCCATCTGTTTTCCTTTCTATCATAGAGGCAGTTGATCCCTATTTGAGAAGAGACACCTCCATTCATTACTCTAAGGCGACTGCCAGCAATACTCCTCTCCACTTATGGCCTGGCCTCATGAATCTGAGCACTGAACTTATTTTGCAAGCCTCTGTGAAACTACGCTACAAGACACACTCAGGCCTGGGTGCGTGTCTGGGCCAACCAGCGGGCGGCTAGGAAACACTTGCTCAGGTCACCCAGCCAAGCCAAGGAATGAGGTGTTTTCTTTTTTCACTCCCCCCCCCCCCAACCACCCCATTCATGGTGAGGCATGCCTGCACCCTCCTAGATGATGTCTCAGCTTCGTAAGGGTCTGAGACTCTGAAATAAAGGTTAGGTGGCATTTTTGGACCGCCCCCCCCCCCCCCCCCCCCCCAAGACAGCGCTTGATGATGGACGCATCCATTCAGGCTGCACTGGAGGAGCATCGACGCACTGTACATGGCCTGGTCATTGTTTGTTTTATTATACCTCATGTTTGATTATCCCAGCCTTTGGCACCGGGGTCCTTATCATAATAATTATAAAATAAAAAAGGGATAAAAAAGAGAGTCTGGTCTGGTAAATCCAAGTTTTGATCACCAAAGTGAACTACTGGAATGAAGTACATAGCTTGTTGTCCAGGACTGCCTCATGGTCTGCCTAGTCCGAGCCTATTTCACTAAACCTAGCAAACATCCCATTTTTGGCTGCAGGAACCATGCATACTGGAAAGTGGAGACATTTACTTGAGGAGTCTGTAAGCTGCTTGTATTCAGCCAGAATTTTGGGCGCCGTACATCCCGGCCATCAGAGGTAGCCATTGTTTAACACATAAAGGATCGGTCATCAAGATGAGGTGGCATATATGCTCTCCATTTTGAATCCCCCTACGGACAACCGGCCTTGGTAAAGTGTAGATAGGAGATCCATGAAAGATGACATGTCCATGGCAAAGCGTCAAGTGAGATAAACACTAAGGCCTTGTGGGATCAAACAGGAAGAAAGCAATTGCAACGGGTATCTGATCCCGAAGCCAAAAACCCAAAGCACAACGAAGTAGATGGTTCATGAAAGCTCTCACAACAATGGGTGATACGGGAACTGGAATTTCGAACAAACTGCACCTGGCTACCTCACTATGCCATGTATGCAGTGGATGATGTCTTCCTCCTCGTTATTTAGGCCCTTTTTGCATAACGGTGAGCCGTTTTGGTCTGTGTTTTTCCTGAGTTCATGGCACCATTGGTTCACTGGTAGGGTCGGAGGGTATGTGTCTTTACCGGTCTGATTCTAATATTATTATTATTTATACTCTTTCAATGGAATTTCAAGAGGTTTGCTGAGGTTTAGTTCCAAGATTTCCCAACGCCTCTACAATTGGAGAGGGGTCTTTAGTGTTTAGTACTTTTACTACTTTTTAGCCCTAGGTAGTAAGTAACCTAAGTTAACTGAGTAGTCTGAGATTAGGCAGGCCAATTTTGGATCCTCATGCACCCAGTGCCAGTCTTTCGGGTCATATTCTAGAGCTGTAATGGCCCTCAGGGGCTCATGGATTTTCCATGTCTCAAACTGGATGATCCTCACTTTCCTCGAGGTGAAAACCTCCCTCACGATGTTTCCAGGTTCGTTCTGAGTATTTCCCAGCCCTGAAACTCCCATGTATTACTGGGTATGCGACGAACTTCGCTCGGCATTCCCTTTCCCCTATTCTTTTGATGAAGCTGAAGGCTCGATTGGGTGTCCAGTCCATACGGCTGCCACGTAAAGTCCTCTTTGTCAAGTAGTTGGATCCATGAAAGGGGACCGCTTTCAAAGCTGGCCGTAGATGCTGATGCGTAGAACTCCAGTCCCTTGACAAAAGACTCTCCCACCGCAGATGAAGGAAACCGACGACTTGGGTCGGTTGATGCAGTGAGTCAAAAAGTCGCCGTCCCACAGTCCCTGGCCGAGAGAGATCCAACAGCGCCGACTGACCCTGTCAGTAAGGAGAAACTGTGACCGACTTACGGAGAGGCCAGCCCAAGCAACTCCCGTAGAACAATTGCTGCATAGGACAAATCCAGCATGAATATGAAAAGAGCCAACCGTAATGAAACCAGATCGCTCGGAAGAGAGTCTTGAAGGTGGGCTGCAAGTCCACACACCTCCTGAACCGCCCCAAATCCCCCCATTGACCCGCAAGTTACCATGTCATCTTGCAGGGAATGGTGGAACAAACGAACGAGTGATGGTAGCTCAAAGCAGAAGCAGGATACGCCGGAGATCGAAGGAATGGAGCAGCACCTCGATCGAGAAGTGTGGAGCAGGCCCGCGATGGCGTCCTGGAATGGAAAGGATACTCTTGGGTTTGAACGAATGACTGGAGTCAGAATAATCTAGGAAGAAGCTGCAAAGAGGAGTGGTGGAAGAGTCACCACAACCTTTACAGTGGAAGAAGCTCAGATTGGTGATTTCCTATATTCGGAACAAAATAGAAGTCTTGAAGGGGTGGCGCGAAGCAGAAGCATATCGAGATGGTAGCACTATGCTGTAACTGTGGGAAAGCTGGCAGCGGTCCAAAGAAGGATTGCGGCTGGAGTAAAAGGAAATACATGTCCAAGCTCGGATAGTAAGACATGGGTAACAAAGATAGATTGACATGGTGTACGGTTCATGATTCGGTTAAAGGAACCAAAGAGTGGAGAAGACACATTTCTAGGAATCCTCCCCGAGTTCATTGTAGGGTGCGTTCACATTGGGAAGAGGAGCGAATCGAGAAATGGTTTGGAGAGGTCGGAGTTTATGAAGGCGAGGGCGAACATAGTTTATGGTTAGGCATGGTACATGATGGAATAGAAGAGTGGGAACCTTCATGCTATATGGATACAGGTCGCATCAAGGGTGGAAACGAAGGAGAGATGAAGAGAATGACGAAGCGGGCTAAGTGGCGAAGAAAATGGCGGAGAGGCCTAGAATGGCCGGGTTTGGCAAAGAGGAATTCACCCTAGGGCTGCGAATACGACTGTAAATGGACTTGGGAATGGTGAAGGTTTGCTGAATTTGAAGACAAGCGATTCTGGGGGACCACATGGCTCTCCAGGTGGATGGGTGGATGAGGAGATAGTGAGCCGGAACTGAGTTCTTTGTGGGAGATGACTTGACAAAGGATTCCGCGTTTGATTTGGCAGACCTTTAACTATGTTGCCCTGCTCCACAATCTCAGCTTGTTCCTCAGCCTTCACAACAACTCTTTTCTACCTTCTCAGCAAATCCATTTCCTCGGTCTCCTTCTCGGCGCCCACAACAAACGCATAAAGGTCCCCACCGACAAAGCTGATAAAATCCTCAACGTTATTACCTCTTCAACAAAATTTCTACCCTCTAGGTTTCTGGTCAAACTAGCTGGAAATTTGGCTTTGCTCTTGCGAGCCTTCATGCCTGCCCCTCTCTTTCCCTCTACCCTTTACCTCTCAATTTCTCCATCCAATTGGGACTATCCGATCCCCATTTTGACAACCTCATAAGTGACCTTCTTTCGAGGGTTGACCATCTCCCGCACCTGCCCGGTCGCCTCTGCACCACTCGTTCCCCCTCCTCCTCGATATCAATTGATGCCTCTGCCACTCAAACCGCAGCCCACCAGAGGAGATGTCATTCATTTCAACCAATGTCTTTCGCTTCACCTCCTATCATCCTCATCAACCCACAAGGAGCTCTCTACCATCCTCAAAATTTTCCTCTTTCTTGCCAGCAATCACCCTCACGTTCTCGCCGCCTCCTTTCTGACAATCAAGCTGATGTGTCACTCCTTGCCCGAATGACATCCTCGGACCCCTGCTTTAACCCCTCGCTCCTTCAAATCGCTTCTATCCTTCTCTTGCATGACGCCATCCTTAATAGAACGGGGATATTGTACACTTTTTATCAAGAAGCTGACCACATAAAGGCCCCTATCTTTCGTGTAATTGGCACTTCGGCACTGATCTTTTCGCTTTGGATTACCATCATGTGTAACCAACCTTCATCTCACTATCTTGGTCCCACCATGCCTACCAAGTGGATGCTCAGGGCTCTTCTAAGATTTTATGTGAATTTCCTGTTTCGGTTCTAGCGAGCTCAGACCTCTTCCCTCCCACCTTCTTGTAATATACTTCCACACCACCTTGGTAATACACGATTGTTTGGTTGGATCACCCGTCCACATGAAACATCCAACCTTCTTATTGAGTTATTTCAGGGTCCTTATCGGGTGGGCACCAAATAGACGCCGCGTGCTAGAGGGTAGAGATAACTGAGGTGTTTGTGATTATAACTTGTCCTTGGAGGGAAGCTTGAGCCTCCTGCATGACGATAGTCTTGAGGTTGCTTTGGCTACCAAACTCTCACCCATCCCTGGCCAGATCCCTTATTGAACATCATGACCAGCTAGCATAAAGCCTCGTTGTCCATGCTAGTGGATTAGTCATATAGTCATAGTCTCCGGTTGAGTGGGGGAGGAGGGACCCTCAGCAGCCACCCATCATTTCCCTCCAGTTCACCTACATTTCTGACACTACACAATGCTTCCATTGCCCTCACAATTGCTTGGAAAGATGGATTAGAGGCCTGTATACGGACTATCAAATTGTCTTTCAAGCATGAAGGCTGCCAGGGTGCAATTGTGGAGTAAGTTGGTATGTTGAACCGTCAATATATCAATCGAAGGATCTTTCCTTAGGCAGGATGTTACCGCCTCCAAGACAAAGAAGACGGTTGGAGGGGCCACAGGATCTCCTTGGCACACCTGGTAATCACTTACAAATCCACAACTAACTTCTTTTCTCCTAACAACATTCGTAAGGATAGCCTGGGAATGAAGAAAGTGGAACTGCAAAACCCT